AAAATCCGACCCGCCGACCGGAATTTTGAAATACCATGTTATGCAAAACGAAAAATTAACTTTGCGTGGCCTTATATTAAGTATCGATCTTATTTTCTGATTCAAATACTTATAGAATTACGTATGATTGATGTTATAACGAAAGCTATTATATTGCACAAGCAAAACTTATTATATAATTTATATATTAGGGCATGCCCGAAAATTTTACCGTGCCTTCTACCCTATTTATATCAGCCAATCAGACGAAAGTCTCCCTATGAACTATATGGGGTCTTTGCCTTGAAAATAATCTTCCGACATTTCCAATCGGGTTAATTCGGATAAAAAAAGCCCGAGTACCGGTTCATGTTCATATATTAATCATTGAGATCAACATGAACCGGTACTCGGGTTTATTTTTGTCCGAATTAACCCGATCGGAAATATCGGAGGGTGATTTTCAAGGAAAAAACTATATACTAGAAAACAAAAGGAACAACAACGTATGAAAAGTTCATAAATTAATAAATATACAAAAGAATTAATTTATTTCAAATATATATATCGATACATATAAAGTAGAGAAAAGTGGTATTCAGTATTACATTGTCTTCTAAGTTCGCCGGGAGTAAGATCTTTTTAGATTCTTTTGTACAGTGAATATTGACGTCATTTCGGCAATTTTTTGGTAGTAAAACGTTTTGCTACCAAAAAATACTTTAAAGTGTATAAATAAGTTACTCGGGCGATTGATTTACATCAGCCAATCAGACGAACTTCTTCCTATGTTACAGCTATTTTCAAAAAGATGTGGAAAACGATTTCCATATACCTATAAGGGGAATCAGAGAATTTGAAAATTCCAATTAGTAAAAATTATAGCTGTTTTCAAAAAGGTGTGATCAGACGCAAATAACTATATCATGTGAAAATTCACGAAATTACCAAGATTTCCAAAACCTTCAAAGCTCTAATCGGATCTTCAATTTTTACTAATGATTATTTCTCAATTCTTCGATTCTCACATAGTTATGTGGAATCGTTGTTCACACCCTTTTGAAAACAGCTGTAAAGAACCGATTGGAGCGGGTCTTGAAAACTTCGGAAGTCTTGGAAGTCTTGGCGAATTTCCCATAATATGATCTGCCCATTCCACGTCTTTTTGAAAACAGCTATAATATTGATATAGGAAATATGGGGGATGGACTAGGAAAACCACTGTCTGACACTTTCTTTCAGATAGGTTTTTCTCATATAGATTAAGAATCATAGTATATTTTGGGGATAAGCTCAATATAAAATTTTACTACACAAGAGTCACTGTGATTTTTTTATTAACATTAATTCTGTTTCTTATTGTTAGTGGATCACGAGATATTGATAAAAATAATTTCGCTATCATATGAAATTTTTTTAAAAGAAATTTCATATGATCGCGAAGACATTTTTATCAATATCTCGTGAGCTACTAGACCAATTTTAGCCATTAGAACCGCATTTGTCTTCTATACGACTTTTATTGGAAGTAGAAGTAATGTTAATAAAAAATCACTTACCAAACAAATAAAATTATAATGTTACTTTTTTGAAAATAAAGCCCAGAAAGTACGCCAATTCGCGTTTAAAAAAAAAAAAAAAAATATAATATAAAATAAAGCCCAGATTAGCCTCATACTGTATTAGAGCAATTTTTGTAATTATATTCAAAATTAAAATATTAAATTTGGTTCAATAAACATTGCGTATGTATGTAATAGACTCAAACCATTAACATTAACCAAACTTTTCTATATAAACGTTAAGTTTTAAAGTTTTCACTTCTAAAAAATTTTTCACGTAAAATTTAATCAATATGAATTTCCAAATTCTTAATCTTTTTGTAATTGTTTTTTCAATTTTACTTACATTAACTATTACTATTACTGTTGATGCTCGCTTTAATGAACATATTAAAAACCATGCTAATAAACGTATCGCCCCACCTGCAAAACTAGTTGTGGGTTCGGATCCCTGTGCAGGTCCTGGTAGTCAAGCATGGAATGACAAGATGCTTTTTATGCGAGGTATAGAAAAGAATGGTATTGATGATGCAAGTAAATGTTGTGGGGCATGTAATAGTGATCCGAATTGCATTTCATGGAGTTATTTTCCGGCTCGAAAGATCTGTTATTTTGCTTACAATCCAAATAATGGTACTGATTTTTGCTCATCAAATTGTTTCGCTGTACCATCCAAGTTGGATTTTGATGGCGGTATTATTAGATGTCAGAATCCGAATTCTCTCGTTTCATGTAATTCATGTGTTTCAACATAAATAATTTAGATATTATTTAAAAATTCATCATAATTTTAGTTTTGATTGATCTTTAAACTTTCTACCTTCTAAGTAGAATTAGCTTCAAATTATAATTATATTTCATCATAATTTAGTACGATTGATCTTTAAATTTTCTACTTTCTAAGTATAATAACTTCAAATTATTATGATATTTATCCATATATCCTGATAGTTTTGCACATGTTTTTTTTTAAAAACTTTTTATTAAATTTAGATTTATTTATAAGTTTTTAAAGCTTTATCTCATTTTTAATCTCTTTAATAAATAATTTGAATAAAAACAAGAATAAATCTATACATCGCAGCCTGTACACTTCATATTGGCCATTGTGACTCCATTGGTGATCATCATGGTAAATTGTTTCGATTTGGTGATTATTAAAATTAATGATAACATTTCATAAAATTTAATCAAATTATTTATGTGATATTGCATGTCTCCAGTAAAATAAAATTGATATTGCTTGTTCTCCGGTAAAACTGAATTGCAAAGAATGTATTTGATTGATAAATTGCTGGCCTTAACTATTAATCCGCTTATGAATCACTTATGAAATCGTTTATAAAACTGTATTTAATTGGCAATTGCTGTTATTAGAAGTAAATTGCTTATAAAACTGATTATGAAGCTACTTAATATTTATAAATTATTTATAAATCATTAATAAATCATTACGTATATCACAATTTTAAAATTGGTACCAATCAAATAAATTTTTTTATGCTAAAAATCAATTATATTATAAGATTATTATTTAAAAATCACAAAATTTATTTTTTAAAATCAATCCTTTTAAAGAATTCTTTTGTATTCACAGGTTTGAGCACTTTTAAATTAGTTTTAACTGTTTTTACAAAATAAGTAAAAGGCAAGTTAAAATATTTAAGAGGTTATTTACCATTAAAGGATATAAGCATTATATAAGCATCATAGTAAAAATTGGCAGGCATTACTTATAGAATTTTAATAGTAGTAGAATTTTTAAAAATTTTACAAAGGGTACTATATAAACCTCTTTTTTACTAAGTTTCTCTTTGACTTCTAATTAAAGTTGTAGAGGAAGTTTGTGCAGTTCTAATAGTAATAAAATTGTTAAATTTAGTCTGGCGTATTATGAAATATCAATGATTTATATTTTATAATTATATAAAATTTTTTTGCAGATCTGCAAAAAAAAATTTCATATGATAAATCATTGATATCTTGTGATCTACCAGATCAAATTTAGTAATTTTATTACCATTAGAACTGTACAAACTTTTTTTACAACTTTAATTAAAAGTCAAAGAGAAACTTACTTAGTAAAAAAAGTTTATATAGTATTTTTTGTGAAAATTTTTAGAAATTCCACTACTATTAAAATTCTAGAAGTAATTTTCACTAATTTTTATTATGAAATTTATACCCTTTAGCTACAGGCTAACTATTAAATATTTAAATTATTAATATGAAGAAATAAAAATATTAAGAGCTTTTTGTATATTTATAAAGTTTCTTTTTATTTAATTGCTGATCCAGATAAGATCAGCAGAATTTCTATATTAGAAATTAGGGCAAAATTCCTATAATATTAACTATATGCTTCAATCTGAGCAGAGTCAAATGAAAAGTATTTTTTATTAAGTTAATGATACATATCGATTAATTGCAAGTTGTAGAGCTCATCGAGACGCATCTAACGTGGTTAGATCATCCAAATCGGCCTACTGGATGGCAAGTTATTATTAACAAATGATTGGCTGACTATATATTGTTTACATAGAGATTTTATATAGTCAGCCAATCTTTTTTAATAATAACTCACCATCCAGTGGGCCAATTTGGATAATATAACCAATGTTAGATATGTCTCAACAGGTTCTACAACTTTCAATTAATCGACATGTATCATTAACTTA